AAAAAAAAAAAAAAAAAAAAAAAGAAGTAATGCTTCTCTGCTTTCTACTATGCCTTAATCTTGATCTGTACTCAAATTTTTACGAAATTAAGGAAATTATGAAAATAATAATGTGAATTATAGAGTATGACATGAGAAATTTTTAACTTGGTCCATTATCGGGTAAATTTGGTACGCCAAATTAGAACCTGTAGAACTTTATTGTGATCATCTCATATTTTAGGTGCTACTGAATTATCTTTATTCTTGTTCATTTTAATTAAAGAAAAACATACCTTTTCAAAATTAAAAAAGTACATAATTCTTCATAATTCTAACATGGAATATTCTTGTACTTGTAACTTTATTAGTAAAGAGTGGGTTATTTTAAAAATTAATGTATTCAATAAGAATTTTGGCATAAATATATATGAATATATATATATGAAATAGCTATTTCAGTTTATTTAAGATAAGAAACACCTATTTTAATTATTTAACATGACATTTAAAATGGATCATGTTTAAAAAATATATCTTGTGCATTTGTCTATGAATTAAGATAAAGCTTGAAAATTAATTGTTATATTTTAACATCAATGCCAGTTATAGGTAAGATTACTAATAACATGTCCATGGCAGGAATAGATAGTGTAGCAAATATCACATCAACAGATCATTTCTATTCTCTTCATCTGAGGGAAGTGACAGTACTTTTGAAAAGTGGGGTTTCAACCAAACTAGCTTGTTACTATTAGGATAACAGGATATATCTCAAGATGCTTTAAGCATTTATTACTACTTTGCATAGAAATTTCAGATGAATAATTAGCTATTAAAAATAATTAGCACATGTCTTCTATAAGAAAGATGTAGTTGTTTCTCAAGAGTGTCTAAGTAATTAAAGTAGACATTCTCAATCTATAAAACTTTAATAGGGATAATATTTGATGAATATTTTCTTTCTAGAAGGAATAAAATTAGACTGATTATTAATTTTGTTAGCATCCCTGAAAAGGCATCATGTAAAATTATCAGAAGATTATTCCCTGGTGTCACATCATTTGCTTTATTCAATTAATGTAAATTTTCAAAATGAAGTAAAAAGTTGCAGCAAACTCAATTTTAAAATGAATGTTTTTACTTCTCATTGCTTCTTGTGTTTGGGAGACTAACTTTCTTTGACCTTAACTTTTGGTTCAAAAAGAGATACACTGTGTGAACATGTATATAAATGTTATATGGTAATAGGACATTGCATTGATTTATTAAGGTTTTAATTTAAACTTATGTTTAGTTAAGGTTTTGAGTATGGCCAGATTTTATCAAGTATAAATATAAATTATTATAACTGTTTTATAATATCATATCTTAATTTTTATTACCAATAAAAATTACAAAATTATTACCTTTTTCTTCATCTCCCTGTTGAAAATCTCTATAGATTTAAGGAAAGAGAGAAAAACAGTAAGAATTTTGTGATCATATACATGATGCTTCAAAAATGGGTTCTAGTTTTTAGTTATAGTTATAATTAGGAGATATAAGAAGATAAGAGCTTTTTAATATACATTTATTTGAGATAATTTTCATTATTTTCACGTCCTTTTTTTTTTTTTAATTCTTCTAGGAAACAAGAGTTGGACAGTAGTCATCCTCCAAAGCAACAACCAGGAAAACCACCAGACCCTGGGCGTCCAGTGCAGCCTGGCCTCAGTAAAAGTAGAACTACAGACACTTTTAGGTCAGAGCCGAAACTGCCTGGGCGGAGTCCTTCCACCATTAGTCTGAAAGAATCAAAGTCCAGAACTGATTTTAAGGAAGAGCACAAGTCTAGTATGATGCCTGGCTTCCTTTCAGACGTTAACCCTTTAAGTGCTGTCTCCTCTGTTGTAAATAAATTCAACCCATTCGATTTGATATCAGACTCTGAGGCATCCCAGGAGGAAACAACCAAGAAACCAAAAGTAGTTCAGAAGGAGCAAGGAAAATCTGAAGGAATCACAAAACCTCCATCACAACAACCATCACCCAAGCCAGCCCCTAAACAGCAAGGACCCATTAGGGACCCACTTCTGCAGGATGGCTCTCCCAAATCAGTATCTTCTCAGCAAGCAGAAAGAATGAAATCACAACCTCCAGGTACAGGAAAGCCAAGTCAGGGGCATGTCCAAACTCCTCAGACAGACCAGGCAAAAGTGCCACTTCAGCGAGATGCAGCCAAGCCTCAGACTAAACAGTTAGACACAGTTAGAGGAGAATCAGTTACACCCTCACTGCAAAGCCCATCCAAACCACCTCTTCAGCATGCAAGTCCTGGGAAACCTCCAGCCCAGCAGCCTGGACCTGAAAAATCACAACCTGGGCCTGCAAAGCCCCCAGCTCAGCAACCAGGGCCTGCAAAGCCCCCAGCTCAGCAACCAGGGCTAACAAAACCTCTTACTCAACAGCCAGGGACAGTGAAGCCCCCAGTCCAGCCGCCAGGAACAGCAAAGCCTTCAGCTCAGCCTCTTGGACCTGCAAAGCCTCCACCTCAGCAGGCTGGGTCAGAGAAACCATCTCAGCAGCCTGGGCCAAAGTCTCTTGCTCAGCCTCCTGGGGTTGGAAAGACTCCAATACAACAGCCAGGGCCAGCAAAGCCTCCAGTGCAACAGCCAGGGCCAGCAAAGCCTCCAGTGCAACAGCCAGGGCCACCAAAACCTCCAGCTCAGCAACCTGGGCCACAGTCTCCAGCTAAGCCACCTGGGCCTACAAAGACTCCATCCCAGCAGACTGGTACAGCAAAGGCTCTGGCTCAGCAACTGGGGCCAGGAAAGCCTCCAGCTCAACAACCAGGCCCAGGGAAGCCTCCTGCTCAACAGCCTGGCCCAACAAAGACCCCTGCTCAACAACAGCCTGGCCCAGCAAAAACCCCTTCTCAACAGCCTGGCCCAGCAAAGACTCCTCAAAAACCTGGCCCAGCAAAGCCCCAGTCTCAACAGCCTGGCTTGGAAAAACCCTCAACTCAACAACCTACCCCAGCAAAACCCTCAGCTCAGCAATCTGCAGAGCCAATAAGCCAAATGGGAGCTGGGAAACCTCTGCAGCCACCAACACAGACTCCATTACAAGGCCTCCCTAAAACCATCTGTCCTCTTTGCAATACCACTGAACTTCTTTTGCATGTTCCAGAAAAGGCCAATTTTAACACATGCACTGAGTGTCAAACCACTGTCTGTAGCCTCTGTGGTTTTAACCCCAATCCTCATTTAACTGAGGTGAGTGCCTTTATTCGCTGAGTACATGCTGTTTGGCCATGTGATCATCTTCCACAAATGGTGTTTATTTGATCGCTTACGTGACAGGCCCCTTCCTTCTGGCTCCTTCTTTCCTTTTTTATCCTTCTCTATGAATTGTGAATTAGAATTCATTTTTACGCTTTCTCCAATTATAAGCCCAGAATGTTGCCATAATTGCTGAAAATTTGGCATATAAAACAAAAATTGAAAGATGCTGAGCACCTATGTATCCACATAAATACTGTGGATCGCAGCACTGTACTATCCACAGTATTTATCATTTAGCATTTGGTCATATCCCTTTAACTTTTGAATTGCTGCTCCTGCCTACCAAAGTTATGGTACTCATAATTAGGGTTATATTTGTGTTAGGAAAAAAGTACAGAGTGTTTTTAAATTCTAAATACAATTTTAATATAAAATCGACTACAGTTTTTTAATCTGCATGTCCCTTGCCCTACTAGAAATTCTGAGGCTTGCTTCCTTCCTTAGTTGAGAGTCAGTGATAACAGCATAGATCAGTTCACAGAATGGAAAAGTCCTTGTAGCAAATTCAACAGTGATGGGCGTCTTCTCAAAAGATCACAGTTTTTAATCTCCAAGGCTTATATCTGGGTAATCCTTCGTGACCCAGCAAATCATAAGGGGCCAGTAGTGACACCGATGAGTACAAGATTGTTTACTCAGATTGAAGATAGAAACGTAATTCTGGTCAACTAACTGTATCCATATTATCTCAGCACTTAAAGACCTGAATAAAGTGGCTTTTTAATATGTAAAGACTCAGGGGACGAGGTTAGGTGGAAGGAATTCAAAAACACAAAACCATAAAAAACTCAGAAATTCCTTGAAGTTAAGGAATAAAATAGTGAAGATTGGATAATAATATCAAAAGAAAGAATAAAGAGGTTTAGGGTCTAAGAGGAAATAAAAAGAAGTGCATTTTTATAAGCTATCCAATAGCTTCCACTGAATGGGAAGACACACAAATCATATGGCCTGTCCGGAGGACAGCTGTTAGTGGGCAGTCTGTGCATTATGTCTGCAAACAGCTCAGGACGTAACTGACAGCAGGCAATGAAGGATTATGTGATTTAAATATCCCAGGGAGATGAGGCTTGTGTACTGCTCTAATATATGAAATCTATGTCACGATAATAACAAGAATGATGATCATAGTAACTTATGTTAATTTGAATACTTGCCATGAAAAATGCATATTTAAAATATGACAACCTTTGGTTGTTTTCTAAAGTACCTTTCACTTTTTTAATAAAATTCTTATTGAGGACTTTAACTTTTTGGATAAATAAGTCTTTTCTTATAAAATTGCAATCAGTAAGAACATGCTGCATTTGAATTATGGAGGAAATCAGATTAGAGGCAGTATGTTTATGTCTATAGATGGCTTTTTAAATATCAATAAAGGTAACATTTCTGCCCATAGCATACTGTCTTGACAAGAGAGTAAAGTAATAATGACTTTAAGTGATGATCGTCTTATAAAATGTTTAGATTTATTGTGTGCTGGTGGCAATGTGGAAGGCAGAAATAACTCAGTTGGAAATTTAAGCCAAATAGATTATGTTTCTATCTACTAAGTGGAGTACATATTATTTGGGTACCTACAATATGAAAGATATCCTGCTAGATGTTTGATGGGTTATAAACATAACTACAACGTAAATGTTGATCTGAAAATGATTAAAATGTAATAGATTAGACAATACATGGGTAGGAAAATATGATGTGGGGCAAGATGATCAGAGCTGTGAGAGATGAGAACAAATATGGACTTCAGAGTAGAAAATGCTCATTTTCAGTAAATGAGATTAAGGAAAACTTTACAGGAAAAATGGCATTTGAACTAAGTATATAAGGATGGATATCCTTTAAACAGAGATATGACATGAGGGAGGGGAGTGATTTGAGCCATCGCTTGGAGCCACAAAGTTACAGGGTATGTTTGGGGAATGAGGAATAAATCTAGTTTAGCTAGAATGGTAGGGAAGAAGTGGACAATGAGGTTGGAAGTAGATGACCATGGAACTTTTGAAAGACAGACCGTGTTATGTCCTTGATTTCATTTTCAAGAAACTCAGTAGACAGTGTCCCTTCTGACTCACCAAGTCTCAACTTGCTGGGCTGATCAGTATTTCAGGAAAGGCTTCCTTTCTTTCCATCTGGACAGATTTTTCATTTCTTGATTTTTGTGTATCTCAAAACTTTCACAGTGACCCGTATGACAAAATTAAATATTTGTTAGATATGGAGTCTTCCCCAGATCAGAAATAAGGGAAATGTAAGTTGTGTGTAAAAAGAATCTGTTCTGTTTCTATGAAAAGTCCATTTGTGTAGAACTTATTCACATGAGTCTTATTTGTTTGATTAAAAATTAAACTTCCATATAATTTTATGGACATATATTCTGTCTTCTCTATTGTGGTAATGAGGAGACTGGCATTCGGATGGTTACTATGTTTGTGTTAGTGGCCTACAGAGTAAATTACTAAGCAGAAGTTCAACCTTATCTTCGGATTCCAAACCAATTCTCTCATGGTAAGAGAAAGATGAAATGCCATAGGGTCAAAGGAAGAAACTCTCACTATCAATGGGAGATGCTGGAGTTAGCTTCATGAAAGCGGAAGATTTGAGCTGGAACTGTGCAGCTTGACTAAGAATTTGGGGACACATGGTAGACATGGAGGGAGCTGGGAGGGTAAAAGCAGGCAGAGGAGCTCACTAGCTGAGGAAAGAAAGGCACCCTTATCGCCTGGGTGACCTTGGACGAGTTATTTATACTTTCTGTTATAATGACAGGAAAGATGACGTTCTTTGCGAGACACATTGAGTTATTAACAGCAAATTTTTATGAGAAAGTATTTTCAAATATATTTTGTGCTTTTTGAAGTTGCAGTATATTGTAGCACAGATGATATTTTAAAGAAAATTGGCCTTTAAAGTTTACTTGATTTTTTTTCTACATAGATACAATGTTGGCTTCTGAAGGAGCAATCTAAACAATACTATTTTATCAATAGTATTAGTGGTACCATTGCATTTTAACTTTTGTTTGTTTTTTTTTTCCCCCATAAGGAAAAATTGTCATCAGCCTTCTAATTCTTAACTCTAGAAAAGCATCTTTCCTCATCCTGTGCACCAAAGTGGTGAGTTCCTCCAACTCTGGAGGTCAGAGTCTGGAAGGTAGAGCTTTACATAGAGGCTGCAACCTTCCATTCCAGAGATGAAATTTGGGGGGAAACAACCACTTCTAAACTATTATATATATCTGTGAGAAAGTGACTCTGCTTCTTTTGAAAAGGAAATAGCACTCTGGGTCAGTTTGCTCTCAAGTATTTAAACTGAGTAAACAGTTTTTCCATAAAAAATAGGGATAGGGACTGGATATTTTTAGCCTTCAATTTATGTGAATTTATTTTTCAGTTGGATGTTTATATGCAAGTAATTATCTGTATTGTTACTTTTGTAGTTTATGAGTGAAACAGGATAATAGTTTCTTTCATCACTCACCAAAAAGACTAGGAGAATTTCTCTGATATTTTTTATCGACATGTCAGAATTCTGATTGTACTTGCTTGTGACCATCCTGACTCGTAAACAACTACCAGGTCACTAGAGAAGTAGTTACACTTAGCAGCAAGCTTTGGGGAAGGGAACATGTTCACTCCCTTAAGTATAAATTCACCAAGCTGGCCCCGCCCCTGCCACACCCAAGCACCTTAGACAACCCAATCATCTTTGCAGAGAGGAGGATGCCTTTCAATTAATTACTTTTTCCTGAGGCCGTCAAAATATGTGCTATTCAAAATAAACCTTAAGAACCCACTGGCCCCAAGCCTAGATGTTTGATTCCCAGAGTCTCTGTCTCTTCTTGCTGGTGCATTAATGAAATAAACCTCTGTAATACAGGTCCTCTCTGTGGGCTTGTGTTCTGACATAGATACTGAACATTTGCTTTCTGATTAGTGACAAAGGCATTTTTATTGTTGTTTTTGCTGATTTATCTCTTTTGGTATGTAGCCTCCAGCAAGATCGATTTAGGGACAGATATTTAAAGGCTTGTCCCTAATGTTTGATAATCTTCCTACTTACAAGAAATTTTCTAATGTACAAAAAAAGGCTTGTCATTTTTCAAGATGTTGATAACAAAGCAGATGTTAGTGATGAAATTAGATTTAGATGGGTCTTTTGTTTTCATTATTAGTTTTTTTCAGTCATTATGGCCCATATATGAATCAGTCTTTTAGCTGAAACCAGATATTTTATTTAACAAAACAAGGGCGCCTTTTAGGGGCTAAAATATCCAAAATTATCTCTGTCGAAATCTCCTTGACTTGCATATAAACCTTTTTCACGCACTAAAAAAATGAAACAAGGCCAAGCGTGGTGGCTCATGCCTATAATCTTAGCACTTTGGGAGACTAAGGTGGGTGGATTGCTTGAGCTCAGGAGTTCAAGACCAGCCTGGGTAAGAGGGAGACCCCATTTATACTAAAAGTAGAAAAATTAGCTGGGTGTTGTGCCAGATGCTTCTACTCCCAGGCACTTGGGTGGCTGAGGCAAGGGGAATACTTGAGCCCAAGAGATTGACATTGTTAGCTGGTATGACACTCTGACATGCTACCCAAGGCAACAAAGTGGACTCTGTCTCAAAAAAGGAAAGTAATAATAATAAAATAACAAATAAGACAAGAAATGACTGAAATTCTCCAGTTGGGTAAAATGGCTTAAATGGCCACCTCCTTTGGTGGATAGACTTGCTGCTGCTTCTATTTCTAGTAAGGGAAGCTGGGCGGGAGGCAGAGAGGTTTGTTATTAGAGCTGCTGGGAAGCCGTAGAGCTCGGCCAGCTGTCAGGGGCTGGAGCCTGTGGAGAGAGGAGGCTGCAAGACTTCCCCTGCCGGTGGGAAACCTGAAAGGACGCTTAGAAAAGAGGATATTCTGGTTTTAGTTGTTTGC